AGGGGGAAGGGGGTGGCACCGTGAGAGTAGAGTCTTGCACAACACAATAAGTCAGGGCTTAAACCTGGTCAGATCAATTCATTACATTACTAGCATTTGATTCCTCCTTACAATATCATCTTAGATCGTTAAACAAATTCTCCTAGTCAGCACCTCAGGAAATGTATGGAGAACAGTGTAGAGAATATCTGTACTGATCTAAGAGTGTAAAAGGAAAGGGTTTAATGGTGAGAGTGACTCGAGGGGTGAAAAGCTTGAAGCAGAGAATTTAGTTTAAATCAAACAGTACCCCTTCAGTGATATATTACTTAGTTCTCATCATTCTTCTGCCTGAAAATGTATTGATTTGTAAGGAGAAATTCTTTTTGGCTACTCCTGTGGAGTGAAATGGTGAATGGACCAAAAATTCCTGATCAAATTAACACACAAAATAAATTGATATATCAACCTGAAAGAAGATAATAATCCTAAAGGTAAGATTGCATTAAACAAAAAAAAACCTTGGAAAATACACACCTTGATTACAGTTTCATTCTTCTCTGAACTCAAAAGGACATTTTCTGGCTAAAAAGGAAAGAAATCATCACAACAACTTGAACTTTAATAACAATTTTTTATATGTTTTAAAATTTATCTTACTAATGTGTACCTTTAAATCTCTATGAGTAATTCCTTGTTCATGTAAATACTGGAAAGTAACCCAAACAGAAGATTGATTAATATCACTGATGGTACAAATTTACAAAAGTTTCAAATCATATCAAGAGCAAAAGACTCACAAAGTGTAACAGATAATACTGATCCTCTTTTGTGACTATTTGGAATAATACCAATCAAAATAAATCAACTACTAAAAATAACATCATCACAAATGATGCTATCTGCTTGGCAAATTTTTTTACACTTACTCTGCAAAGTGACCTGGCCTATACTTTGGGATCACAGGACACCCACCTTTACTGCTACAAGCATCTGGTAAAACAGAAGTTTTGCTATTGGTTCTTCAAATCTTGTGACACTAACGACTCGGTCAAACAGCTCACCACCTTCTACACTGGAGTTATGAACAAGATAAAACAGATATCACAAAAAAATATGATAAGACAGTGACATTTAAATCTACATGTAGGCTTTTATCTTATACAAACTCAGTGTTGGGCTATCCATTCAACTAATGGATTATATTTCAATTTCCTTCTTTTTTAAGGAATCAAATTGGCCAAAAAGTCACTGAGTTCTGCCGGCTTGTATTTAAAATCACATCATTGAAGAAAATCTTGCATTCTGATTGGTTAATGAAGTGAGGTATTTAGTATAGAACTGTGAGTTGAAAATGAGGCTAAGTGATATTGTTTCACATCTACATATACATAACAACTATAAGTAATTCTGTTCTTTTTTTTCTTGGTTTTATTCAATTATGTGATTCAAGGAAAATCCATTTCTTGAGTCCTGAATTCCGCATTAAATTGCACTTGAAAACCGATATTGCACTCATCGCTTTGCAATTCGTGCGATATCAGTTTCCATGGGCAATTTTATGTAGAATTCATGACTCAAGTAATGCATTTTCCTATAGTATCCAATGGTCTCTCAGTATTTGTTGTAGTTCATTTGAGGCCCATGCATGCCTGTCCTTTTAATTTTTGCAGTATTCAATTGTCAACTGTGTTCTGATTGGAAGTTTAAGCCCATCAGCTTCATTATCATCAATGCAGAGACATGTAAGAGAGAACTTTGCTGAGGGTATGGCTGTCAGTGCTGGACCGCTTGCTTGCATTAAGAGGTCCAGCTTCCAGGCTAATTGGAAGTTATATCCCAAGTGAAAATTTTCTTCAATGCAAAATTCTCAAGATTCGCCTAGTAGTAAAACACTATTTTTTTTTTAAATCTAGACGAAATTTGACTCGTACAGTTCTAAAAAGATGTATAGGACTTCTGCAGTTTCAAACACATCTTCAATTCGGATCACACAGGGCTGAAAGAGATGATACATTTAAAGTTCATAAGAAATCTGAAATAGTCTGTTACCACTTAGTAATTAATTTTCTTTAAAATACAGTACCAATATTGATTACAAGCAGAAAAATTAATTGTGTCAATAGAAAATTTAGAACTGAAAGGAAGGGATATGATAGATTGGCAAAAAATATTAATAGGAAGAAAAAGACATGATGCCAAGAGAGATCATTCTGGAACTTAGGGCTGTAAAAACCATTACACAACTTTGGTGAAGCAATAATATTAGCGTTTGCCAAAATCTTATTGAAACCCTTACTCTTCTTAATACCTGTCATCAAAAAACAAGAAAGTTCCCTCTGCTAAAAAAAGAAAAAAAAAAAAAAAAAAAAAAAAAAAAACCCTCCTCCTAAATAAACTTCAGACAAAAATGGTTAGATTTATACCCAGTTTTAGACACAAATTAAAGCACCATACCCTTTAGCACTGCATTGGTACAATGGCCAAAGAAAGGAAGACCCCCCTTCTTCCATGAGAACAA